ACTATATATCAATACGTATATATAAACATAAACATAAACATAATTACATATATACATATGTATATATATATATATATATTTGTTTTTGTGCATATATAGCATGCACATATAGAATCTTGTATGTGGGTTGTTTAAAATGGCACTTCCTGGCCGGCACCCCCCCGCCCTAAGGCAGAATAGGCGCTGGACACGCCTGGTGGATCAAAAACAAAGGAACTGCTGTGAAAATTGTAGATCTGGAAGGCCTCCTGAAAGAGGCATTATACCCAATCGCAAAGGCGAATGTCGCCGAATAGGTTCCCTGCTGTGCCGATTGTTCTTGCATGGGCTCCGACCACACAGAAATTGATGCCAATGGGTTCCATGTAAGTTGTCAGGCGGGTAGCTCTTGGTGCTCTTAGAGGAAAACACGACAAGAGTGCCTCTTCAAAAAAAGGTTTCTACTCCTTGACATAGGGCTGTCACAGCATGAAGAGTTCCAGTTCTGACCATGCCGATCACGCCAACTTCGAAAGAAAACAACATAGACCTCCAATCGGAAATCAGTCATTGCTGCCGTACATATGCTTGGCAAAAAAAACATCAGCTCCATGATAGATGTAGCAACAGGTTGCCGGCCCCGCCTGTTGCCCTTTTCCTTTCCTAAGTGTCCCAAATTGTGCCCTTGGGATGGTACCAAAAACGCCAGAGAAGCCGCCAACCGCAAAGGCACTGGTGTTTACAGCCGTGGGCAGTAAATAAGAAATCGTGCAAACTGAATCAAGATCCAGTCCTTTCTGGCTTCCTCGACAAATGCGACCACAACCAGTCTGATTCCCTTGCGGATGGAAGAATCATACATTCCTTTAGCACCCGGTGCCTGCAATCATTTTCGGCCAAGCTCGTGAGCCAACCCAAGGCTATCCGGCAGGTCGGCTCCTGCAACACGCAATCCATGGCAGGGGTCGCCAGGGGAAAGGGACAGCACCTCACCTGCGATAAGGGATCCACGGCGAGCAACTGGCCATGGGTCAAAAGTTCAAAAGCCCGCACCCCCGGTGAACATCCAAGTCCCCACTAAAATAGACTAAATTGGGTGGTGCACCTACCCCAAAAATTGGATCCCATTGGTTTTGACCCACGAATTGGCGAAAGCAGCCAGGCCCTGGAAACAAACAGCACAAATTCCAATGCCAGCACGTGGGCGCTCCCCATTGAGCTCAGGCTAAGACTAGGTCGATGGCTTTCGTGCTGGCTAGGGCGGTTGCACAAGGCTTTCGGAGACCCGTTGCTGTCCACAAAAAAAAAAAACAACGCTAGCGACAAGATCCGCCCATGCCAGGTCCTGATCGGGCCGGGCTAGTTCATTAGGAAACTAAATCGATATGTTCGTTGACCGACTCTGGGTGTGCAAACTGAGGATTCTGGCCCGTGGGAAAACGATGGGGTCATGTCCAACCACTTTTCAGGGGCTGCCCTATTGAAATTCATAGCCAAATGACAGAATCTCTGATTCATCTTTGGATGCCGAAGGGAAATCAACATCACATGGAACGAGCTTCCCTACTTCCAGTGAAGTATGGGATGATCAAGAACACCGCTTTTTGCAGAAAGGTGGCCTTCCAGGCACCTGATAAGCTTGACTAAACCTTCCTTCATTTTCCTGCTTTCCAACCGCAAGCGTGGGAAAATAGCTTGCCGGTGCTCAGAAGGGACGGGAATGACCCCCATGAACTATCCCTTGCGGCTTCCTCTAGGGCGTTCCCTTCCAGTTCATGTCCAACACCCTGGGGCATTCCCTACTGAGCACCATCAAAGCAACATTTTGAATGGACCCGAGCAGGTGAGTCACGCCCTCCCCCGGTCCCCATTTCGAACGTCTCGATTGCCCGCCTGTGGACCAACCTCGTCACACTCCATGCCTCAGCTATGGAAATCCTGGCACCTGGATAAATCGGAAGAAAGCCAACTCCACAAATTCCTCTAATTACTTCACTCCATGGGGAACAAAAGCAAAAGCAACATAGCGAGCTTGATCGTAGATTCTGCGCAAAAACTCTGCAATTCACACCTGGAAGGGGGTCCCACGCGTGAACGACATGGATCCAATGAAGCTTGCAGGGCTTGGGCCGTGGAGCGCCAAATCGCAGGCACATGTGTGCTCAATATATGCACATATAGCGATGATATATTGTGTATATATATATCTATATGAACACTTACCCATGTTTTATACCTTTAATTATAGGTACATGCACAAGTCTGCCTACATACCAATCTACTTACTTGTCTGTCTGTCTGTCTCCCTCCCTCTGTCTGTCTCTGTCTGTCTCTGTCTGTCTCTGTCTGTCTGTCTGTCTCTGTCTGTCTCTGTCTGTCTCTGTCTGTCTCTGTCTGTCTCTGTCTGTCTCTGTCTGTCTCTGTCTGTCTCTGTCTGTCTCTGTCTGTCTCTGTCTGTCTGTCTCTGTCTGTCTCTGTCTGTCTGTCTGTCTGTCTGTCTGTCTCTGTCTGTCTCTGTCTGTCTCTGTCTGTGTCTGTGTCTGTGTCTGTGTCTGTGTCTGTGTCTGTGTCTGTGTCTGTGTCTGTGTCTGTGTGTGTCCGTCTGTCTGTCTGTCTGTCTGTCTGTCTGTCTGTCTGTCTGTCTGTCTGTCTGTCTGTCTGTCTGTCTGTCTGTCTCTGTCTGTCTCTGTCTGTCTGTCTGTCTGTCCATCTGTCTATCTATCTATCTATCTATCTACCTAATCTATCTAATATATCTATATGTATTCTATCTATATATATATGTACCTATCTATCTATCTATCTATCTATCTATCTATGTATGTATGTATGTATGTATGTATGTATGTATGTATGTATGTATGTATGTATGTATGTATGTATGTATGTATGTATGTATGTATGTATGTATGTATGTATCCATCTATGTATCTGTCTATCAGAGAATATGTCCATCTAAAACAAAAAAACATATTCATGTATGCATTTAGCTATCTAGATATCTGGCTATCTGTCGGTTTGTCTATGTGCGTCGTGGCATCTATCAATCCAATGATATGCATGTCCATCCATCTCTATGTCTATCCATCTATCTATCGGTCTATCTATCTACTGCTATTTCGGAGCATTCTTTTCAGTCTGTCTATGCATACATGTATGCACCCACCTATCCAGCAATCCATCCATCCAACCAATATGATCCATACCTATCTATCGTATCCATGTATCCATCTATTGTGCCATCCAACCATCCATCAATCCGTATCAATAGATACATCCATTCATGCATCCGTTCATCCATTCATCCTATCCAATCCGTTCCGATCCAATCCAATTCAACCCAATCAATCCATCCATACATCCATCAATCCATCCATCCATATCGATATCTCTCTCTCTCTCTCTCTGTCTTTCCATCTATCTATCCATCTATCCATCTATCCATCTATCTATCTATCTATCTATATATTTATCTTACTATTGACTTATCTATCTGTCTATCTATACCGGGCTGCTCATAAATGTATATGTGCATATATGCATCTATCTGTTCATCCATCTAATTGATCTATCTATCAGTCTGCCTAATATATTTAATATCTAGTCTATCTATCTATCTATTGATCTATCCAACCTGTCTATCTAACACAGTATCTATCAGTCTAATCTAATCTAATCAAGCCTAATCGAAACTAAACGATCTAATCTAATTTGACGTAATCTAAACTAATCCATCTGTCTGCCTCTCTTTGTCTCTCTGTCTCTCTGTCTCTCTGTCTGTCTGTCTGTGTCTGTGTCTGTGTCTGTGTCTGTGTCTGTGTCTGTGTCTGTGTCTGTGTCTCTGTCTCTGTCTGTATGTCTGTATGTCTGTCTGTCTGCCTGTCTGCCTGTGTGTCCATGTCTATCTAATCCAATCGATATGTCCATCTATCCAATCTATCTAACCTACCAACCTATCTAGGCTATCTATCTATCTGTCTGTCTGCCTGCTTGTCTGTCTGCTTGTCTGTCTTTATCTTACAATCATCCTGGGGCGCATCGTTGTGTCGCTTGTACATATTGGCTCTACACTCGGCCTTGAGCCTGTCATACACTTGGCAGAAATGAACTAGTCCACAGTGCCGTGTTGACATATCACACATCAGCACATCAAGGGACCCTCATGGGGCCTGAGCTCGTTGTACCCCTCTGAGTGAGCTCGTTCTCATTTGCCCAAAATGCATGCCAACTTCCAGGGCCCATTGAAGTGACATCCAAAACAACAACTTCCCTCAGGATTGACTCATGAGGCTTTTAAAGACGTCCCCCCACCCCAAGTAACCTTGAGAAGAATGCAGGTCAAACCATAGGTGCTCTTTTGGAAACATAGATGGCCCTGGTAAATGGAATAAACCCCATCTAAACCAGGAACTGCCCTCTATTTCTTTAAGCAAACCAGCCAGAAAGGACATGGGTCAAACCACCAGACTTCGTCCCAGCGGCTGGCCAGCTTCTGGGACAGCTCATAGCGACCCGGCCAGAACTCCACCCAGGACATGGCCCAAAAGATCTGGAGGCCCTTAAGGCCCTTGAGCCAAGAAGCCACCCGAGCACCAAGTCCACACCCGAGCGGAATCCAAATCACCAGCACCGGAAGCCAAAAGCCAACTGAGAATCAATTACGCAAGGGCTGCCCTGTGCAATCAGAGTCCACACCCAATGTCTGGTTGATCCCTGCACCGCAACTTTCCCAGCATACGCGTCCCCCTCGCCCACAAAGCAAAGTCATACCAGCACCCTCCAAACAGTCTGTCCGTCACGGTGCCACCCTCCAATTCTGCCATCCTAGGCCCTCAAGGTTTCCAGTCAGTCACTGGAGAGGCTTACGCTTGGGTCCAGCCACAGTTGAACAAACATGACAAAACAGCTGAAACTTGTCAAAGTTCGATTCTACGACATGTAAGTCCAAAGCACACACACACACACACACACCCCTCCCCCCGGCTACACAAAAGCCGGGAGTGCAGCCGCAGCCAAGCAGCTCGTGCAGCTTTGCATATCCTCCCACCACAACCTGGCAGATGATGTGCCAAGTCACAACCACTTTCAAAGTATTTGGAGGGCAATCCAATTACTAGGGTGCCCAAAATGACCCTTAAGTAACCCATATTTACCGCATACATAGGTTGGCGACCCCATCATAAAGTGACTATATCGTTCAGGCACATCCGCACGCACACGACACTGCTGCGCTTGACGCCACCTTGAAAGGGTCATGTCGCAGGCATGTTTTTTGTGCCCCCCAAACTCCGCTTCTAAGCAGAATGGGAATCGCCCGCCGCGCAATCCAGGCATTGATGCTATTTGCGTGATTTCTTCGGCCTGGGACGTTCACCAGCATGTCCCTGAAGTGTCGTTGTATTGTTTCTTTGCAGGCCCTGCTGTCAAAGCCGGAACTTGCGAGGCCGCCGCCACCGTCCAAGTCCCAAAGCAAAACGGCCATGAAAACGTTTGTTCGGGGACCCCGCATTCTGGGTGGTTCCCTGTCGGCTTGCCGTTAAAACCATCCAAGGGTGCCGTGAATTAAGACTCAAGACTTGTGGCTCTCTGGGGTAACCTTCAAAATCCCTGGTCGTTTGTGGGTGTCCTTTGAAACAACTGCACGGGACAAACACTCGCATCCAAAAGAGCAGAACTATGATTTTTGACTTTGGTCCATACTTGAAAGGTCACAATGTAAAATATATTAAAAGGAGACCCCTGCACCAAACGAAATACACACCCACATCTTCATCCCCTCTTTGTGCGCCATCTTGGGATATTCCCAAAGCCGAGCATGGGATTCGTCTCAACATGTGTGTGGCTCAAAATCAAACAGGAGGGTTTTGGTCCATGTTTCCACTTGCCAGGGCAACCCATTTTGGAATTCCGGTTTTTTGAGCCACAGCCATATGGGGGTGTTTCATTTGGTTTCCCCTTTGAACCAACCCCCAACACGTGTACTGGGCTCCCCGACTGCCCTGCGGGGTGCGACGCTGTTCAGGATCAAGCGCAGCATCTGCAAGGGCCTGGCTCGGGTTCCCCCATCTTCCCGCTAGGGGGGGTAGCAAACCGGGGGGTAGTTGGTAGTTGGGGGTCTTTGGGGTTGCTTGGGGCTCCCTGTTTTTTTGGGGGGCGGCCCCTCCCCTCTTCGCTCTTCGCGTTGAGTTCTCACGTTTATTCGGGCCCATTTGGGGTTGTCTCATGACATGAGATCGGCACGAGGGCAAACCCAGGAAACTCCAAACAACCGTAGCAGGCGTTTGGGCGTTGAGGGTTAGCCGAAGGACAAAGGCGATTTCGGCCTTACAAGTTGCAGCCGGCGTCATCCAGTGGTTGACTTGAGACAGGTTGTGCAAAGCTCTAGCCTGGATCTATGATCGCGAAGTTTGCCGCGCCTCTCCTCAAATTATCTCGGCTTTTTTTTTTAAAATATGTGTTCATGCTTGGGCTGCATGATCCTTGGATTGACTGTGGCCACTGTGCTGGGTAAGTCTTATGAGCAAGCCATGACCTGTACCTGCCAGCGTTGCTTCAGCAAGTGAGGTGAATGTTGTTGTTGGCGTTGGCTTGGCAAGGCCAGCAAAACTACGAGCATGTATACAATGCTGCCTGCAGTCAATTCAAGCGGTTCGTATCCCACGTCATCCCTGACATGTCCGAATAACGAACGCGCAATCCAACCTTTATACGAATATTAATGCGCAAACAAACTACCAAAGCACAAGCACATCAACACTTAGCCGAAGCCAGGCACTTGCCTATAAGCGCAAATCAGCCAAAAACAATATTATGCCAACTATCGACCTTGTACATGGTGATCACATGACTCAGGCATCGGTATTCCCAGTTCAGCCAAGCCAGGTGCCCAAGCCCTCGCTTGCGCAATCTGCCCTGCCTGAAGCATACTGCTTGGAGCAAATGACTAATGAAATCCAAAGGGGATTTCATGGGTGGGCTCGTTTTCCCCACGAGGCTTGTTCATTTGCCCGAGCCCTGCCGAGTGGCTCCATCCCTTCTGGGATCATGGAGCCCCAGCAGACCTGGTCAGGAAATCTCAGCCGAGCAGATAAAGCCAAGTCACGGCAACAACTGGTTTCGCTTTTGAGAGTGTACCCCTTTTTGGCGATTTGGGCGAAACCAGAACCGCCTTTGATTGCCTATGTCTGTTGGGAACCTCCCCTATTTTGAGCTAAACTCCAACGGTGCCACCTGACTTTGGAACCCCTGGAGCCACGCGGGCTTGTTAATTTAAACGAAACATAAAACAAGGATGTGCGCTTTTGTGTCCTTTCGGCGTGTCAGCATGGTCGTTTCAACAATGTGTATCGAACCGTCACCGTATCGCCGAGAGCGGCGGAATCGTATCGCGCCAAACCGATTCAAAGTTCCGGAACACCGAGGCAAATCGATCTCCTTTCTTCATTTGCTCCTTCTTTCTTGCTCCTTTGCTCCTTTCCTCCACGCCACTAGGCAGCCTAAACGAGCGGGGGTGAAATTCTGAGCGCTTCGGGGTTGAGAGCTGCATTTCTTCGCGGCCTGTCTCACGTTCAATACTATAATGTCATCACAACGCCTCGCCAGGAACATATGGTGTAGTGGTCTCACACCAGCTCTGCACTCCGCAGATCGCAGGTGCAATTCTTGCTGGGCGTGCTTGCCTGCTCAGGAACATGCGCGAAAAATCGAACCGCATCGCAACAAGAAGCAATTCTGGCAGTGAATCGAACCGATTCGCACCAAAACAACTTCAATTCCAGACAACCGATTCGAACCGAAAGAAAATGAATCGTATCGCATCGAGTGCATTACAACCATGGTCAAGCGAGGCAAACCCCACTCTGCGTTGCCTTTCCTTCAGGGTAAATTGGAATGACAAGCCCTCGACAGCAGGCACGCCCACATTTGGGTGCGTCTCAAAGTATTTAGATCTGTTCCTTTAAAACAATCAACTCACTTCGTGAGTGGATTGGTCAGAAGTTTACCACTAAAGCAGTCTACCCAACCAGCTAAAGTCCAACTGAGGAAGTGAGACAAAGAACGTCAATCCCATATCAACCAACCAGTTTTATTAATAGGGGGGTGTTCCCCCCCAAAAGCGATGATTCCATATGATTCCCAGCAGTTGATTATTACCCTAAAGAAAAGGGGGGCAGCCAGCCACATATGGCCATTGGTCAGAATCCCGTACTTCCAGTGAACATCCCAATCCCCGCTAAAATAGCATAAAATAGGGGACCTACCCCAAAATTGGATCTAATTGATTTCGACCCAGCCACATATCTTCTCCCCGGATCTGTTCGACGCGGCTCAAGGCCCCCGGCCGCCACGGGTGGGGCGTTGGAGGCGGCCAGGAACTGCTGGAGCTGCGCCAGGGGGCCTCGAGCCGATGGGCGCCGCTTGGGTTTGGAGGGGGCAACCCAAAACCCCCCCACCCCCAAAACCAAACCCCCAAACCCCCAAACTCAAAATATCTGAATCACTCCAGTCAAGTTGCTCTGCAAGTTGATACCGGAGTTAAACTCAATCTCTCACACAAATGCCAATTGCAATATCTCGCAAAATCCCTGATACCAAAATAGCACAAATACATCTCCGATACAATGCCAGCTGTATCAAGATATTCAGGAATCTGTATATATATATATATATATATATTCTGGGTCTTTTCTTTCCGGCGGCTTGGCTGCATCTGCAAATCACACAAGCACGGTTCAAGTCTGTCCCGTCAAGTGTCTTCAACAGTCCATGCGCAAGGGGTCCCACCTAGTGAGCTATGAAAGCAACAAACATGGGTCTTAATCCGTTCAAACCCTTGCGTCTGCACATCTCAGACCTAACGGCGCAACTGCATGGCTGGCACACTTCAAGGTAATGGCTTCACATTTCCACACCCCCCCTTGACAGGAGCTAATCCTTGCAATGCATCTCAGTCCAAGATTCACTACACAAATTTGTACGGCAAAATTTTCATCTGCAAACAGCTAATCCCCACGGCCGATAACGCCACAGGCGAAGCCATCAAGTAAGTACCATTTCCCACAAGTCTCACCTGGTCAGACTCAGGCTTAGGCACGGGCAGGTCCTATGCCCCACAACTTTCTCACACGGTTCCAACATCCTAGGAAAGACAATGCGCATATCATTGCCCTGCCCCTCCATGTGGTACTTTTCAGGTCGCACCTCGCACTGCATGAGCCTCTTCTGACTCGGTACTTCCCACTCTGCCGGAACGTCTTGGTGAGCCACACTCCGTCCTGTCCAACAAAAGAAACCTTGGCCAAAACAGGCGCAGGCTCTGGTATCCCATCAGGCTTGACAGGTTTCTCAAGCGGTTCAGGCTGCACTGCATCTGCTGCCAGGCATGGCTTTGGGTGGCTTGTTCAGAACCTCCAGTTTCCGGAATGCTGAAGCCCCCTCGGCTGATGGTTTCTTAACTATGTTAGCTCCAGGCTTCTTCATGCTCTACCTACAGCTATCCTTGGTCACACAAAATTCTGCAGGTAGCTTCAACTGATATGCATGGGTTACTGATTGCTTAGACTAAACCTATCCCCTAGGCACAAACCTCAGACAACAGATCACCACCTCTTAGCACACGCGCACTCAACATGCTTTTCTGCGGGCATGGCTGAAAAGGAGCATCTATGCAACCAAATAAGAACTCATGCTCCCATGCAAGCTGTCAGGCAACCAAAGGGGACACTCTCAAGCAAGTATGGAAGGCAAAACATCTGGTGCCCGGAAGGCTCAGATCTGATGTCAGATCTTGCACGCTGCCCACGCATCTGCGCTCCACGGTTCCAAGTGGTCACTGATTTCCCTACGCGTGTTGCTCCCATGCACACACTCGCATGGCGCGCAAATGGACACTGTTGGCAAGCGTCCCGCACTCTTTGGTGAAGCGAAGGACACCTGTATCACAATGTATGCAAACAAGGTCATTGGAATCAGGCACCACTTTGACATCCCGGCGCATGCACCACAGGCGAGTCAAATAGACGGACACTGCACGCACAAGGCCATGGGTAAGGAGAACAACCAACAAAACTATCACCATGCTGATGAATGAATCATCCACCTGCCCATCCTGAAAGACAAGTCCAGCACGCATTAGCACGGTGGAAGAGGCCATGACTGGGAATCGTGAGCAAGCACAGACTGCACAATCTCTTGCACCATGCTCACTGGATACACTCCTAGCTCCTGCGATGATTGATCATTCAGGGGAGTATGCTCAACACATTGGCAACGCCGCTTAGGCTGCATGATCCACGACGCGCACACACGAAATGCGTGCTTTGCCTGCACACTGCACCCTGAGCGGCACAACGGTCAAACCGGACATCTGGTTGAACACCTCCTGTCTGAGTGAATGCAAAGGTGATAGGCAACTTCCAATATGTGCATGCCGCTAACAGTTCATAGGCAAAATATGTAACACAAGGTACACACTCCTTCAAGTCTCTCATGCTTCAAGAAATCCCACCACTTGGGAACACCAACCCCAAGACTCTTGGTAACCTGTGTGGTAGCCACCCCGGATTGCACACCCGAGCAAACCCAGATCCTTCACTTGTGCACAGCTCAAAGATCAACAACTTTACCTGCTGATTACGCAACTGCACTCGCACCTCATCCAGCTGTTTTCCAAAGGCAACAATGGCTTCAGTAGCCTCCACGTCAGCTTGCACAACCCCGGACTGCGCAGGTTGTTGGTCACGGCCACACTCGTCTGCATCTGGTTGCACACTCCTTGCACAATGGCATCTGTGCACGTCACGGCTTTGGCTTGGTCTGGCTGTGGCTTGCGTGTCTTGGTTGGCGTGTCACGTTGCCAATCCAATGGTGCTGTCACTTCACACACCCCAAGCTTGGGCTGATATCCACCAAAGGCCTCACGAGACAAGCACTTCGCCAAGGCATCTGCAGGCAGATCATGAGTACTGATCCTTGCTGTCAATTCTTGCACAAACGTAGCAGCAATGCTCACGGCTAGGGCTGGATTGCTATCAATCCTGACCTCAAGTGGTGAGTAAAGTGGACAACGATATCATCACACTCAACATTCAAGAAGTCACTACAGTTCAAGCAATGAGCAGCCCCCCCAAAGTCCAGCAAAAAGGCACAGAGTTGCCTTCGCCCCAATCCTTCTTGGCACACAGAGGTCACGGCAATCAACGCAGCTTCGCAGCTTGACAAGGAGGTAGAGGTCTGTATCCGGCTGATGCTCTTAAGAGCCGATCCTCGCCAAACAAACACTCATGCCGTTACACTCCGCTTTGCGATGGATTCACAACCACCCCAGGAAGCATCACGGAAAGCAAGAACAGAATCCTCTTGCTGCATAGGCGGATAGCTGGCGCCAGTTGGAAAAGGTTCCACTGATAAATCTGAGTCACAAGGAATTTCAGGAATTTCGCAACCCGTCCTCGTATCCTTGTGTCGGCTGTGATTGTCCCTGTGAGAGCAAAGACACATATCTCAACAAGTCAGGGCGACATTGCGCCCACCACGACACTCGACATTCCGATACCTTTCACTGGCGTCATCTTTCAAGGGTGTCTCATTCGCGTCGACAATCTTGGTGAGGCCAGGGGACACCTGAGTTCCCTTCATGCCAGCACACCAACCATCTCCTGTCAACTCCGGTTCAAAGTAGCTTGGATCAACCCGCACCATAGTACGAGAGTCCCCAGCGTTGCGACGGATAGAATGCCTCAAGAACCGTAACTCACCACCTCCTGCCAGGCTTGTTGCAATCACCCCGGTAACCTTCACCTCTAAATGTTTCCGCAAGGCATTGAGCACCACATCACACCCAGCCTGTTCCTTGGACATGACAAGCAGGTCGTCCACATTAACAATGATGTAGATCTTCGCTTTACGCTTCAGTTCCGGAACCCACACGTTCCAGCGATTACTGAAGGTTCTGTGCGACACTGGTTGAGGGGTGCGCCATTTAGGGTTTGGGTTGCATCCACGCCTGAGGAGCTATCCTCAGTCCATTCATCGCTTGAGCCAGGTCAAGACAGACTGGCTCGCACTGATCAGGATGTAATATGACACGTCTGGAGGCAACTTCACAATTGCCCTGGCTCTTCCCGGAAGCGGGCTGAACCTGAAGGCCGCACTCACGTCGAGACCGCACACACACAAATCATCTGCCCCAGCCATGGCTATTAGTGCCCTCAAGGCTTCTGCAGATGGAGTCTTGGAGCTCAGCCCCAATGATGAGGCAGGGCCAGTGTTGGCCACTTCCTGCCCCACACACCGGGCCTCTGACCCATCTGGCATGGTCTTTCTGAGATGACCCATCTGCATGGAATAAGCCGTACCCCGGCCTCACGTGACCTAAGCTTAGCCTCATCTTCACTTAAGACTTCTCCCATGCGCAACTTCTATTGCTTTGAGTTCCTTAGACCGACCTTCTCTATATTTTTCTCCAAGTCCAACTCTGAGGCCAACTGTTCATTCCATACTGCAATGGGTTTAGCAAGGTAAACCTTTTTGCCCAAAAAGGACAAACCATCCCGCTCAGGTTCACTATTTTTGGGATGATGGGATACATGATTCTGTCTGTACCACGTTAATAAGCGTGTAGACCAATACCTCGAACTGCCGATCACACCTGTCTGCATGTGATGAAATGAGCTGTCACAAGGAAGACTGAACTGAACAATCACTCTGCCTTCTGGCACTTGGGGTAAGATCTTCCACGGCCGCCGCGACCGTGCTGAGTGCTGGGGTTTCAAAGCCAAGATCCGAACCTTTGGGGCCGAGTGCTGCGTGGCGTTGGGGCTCGCAAGGCAACTAGCCCGCTGTTTTTCTTCAAAGCTCTGCGGGAACGCCTGAGGCTTCGGCGCCAAGTCTGGCGGCCCAAACTCTTGTGAGGTCTCGGCCTGGGCCATATATGGCGAACAACTCAGATTTCTTTCCTGGGACTGAAGCCTCCTGCCAAGATTGGGCGCTTCTAAGCTGGGCTGGCCGAAGCTCTTTTCGGCCAAGCAACTTTCTCACTCCGGCTCTCAAAGCGCTCTTTCTGCACAAGCGCATCGGTAGCGAACAACATGAGCATGTGTCCAAATGGTCGAATGGCCGATTAGTAATCTGACAAGTGCCAGCATTGCTTTTGTCCATGCTCCGAGCTTATCCTTCTCGCTGCAAGTCACTACTCCCTCGTGCGGTTTCAAGGCGGCGCGCCTCCATTGCTGCAGCAAACCCCCAAACCCCCAAACCCCCAAACCCCCAAACCCCCAAACCCCCAAACCCCCAAACCCCCAAACCCCCAACCCCCAAACCCCCAAACCCCCAAACCCCCCACCCCCCCAAACTCTCAAACCCCCAAACCCCCACCCCACCCCCCCAAACCCCCAAGCCCCCAAGCCCCCAAACCCGCAAACCCCCAAACCCCAAAACCCCCAAACCCAAACCTCCAAACCTCCAAACCCCCAACCATCAAACTAAGTGGAGGGCCGTCCCAAACCATCCCCAAACCAGCCCTAAACCAAGCCAATTGGCAGAAAGCTGGTTTGGGGGGGACGCCTTTGTGCCATCGTTTGAGTCCCTATTTCAAGACACGCCCTATCCCTCTATCCCGCCAACAAACACGGACGTGCACTTCCACGCTTACTGGCGGGGGAGAGAACACGAGCATCTTGAAGTGGCCCGAATTTCGATCATTTGAGCCCCTGCGTCGCCTTGCCCATTCATACAGAAAGCATAAGCCTCCCCCCGCCCCCGCGAACGGTTCGGGAGGGTGCGAAGGCCCAACACCTGCAAGGGTGCCCCTACCAGGGTCGCACCGGGAAAAAAACAAAAAACACCATCTCCTGCTAAGGCCGGGGTCAACATAGACAACACTTTATTTGGGCAGCTGTCACAAATCCCCGGCTCAGGGTCGTTACTTTGAAACAAATCTTATAGCCAAGCGCAAACCAGAGCCAATGACGGAGGCGCAGTCGATGCCAGTACAGTTTCAAGTGAAGCAGCCAATCGACTGCAAAGGAACCAATCTTGCTATTCTTGCTTGCCCGTCGCTTGCTGAGAACTGGAAACCTGACCTGAGCAAAGGGCCGGGGTTAGGTTTCCTGCAAAGCTCGCAATTGTTCGACAAACAATAATTCTCAAATGGTATCAGTTTGAGAACTGCCCGAATAGCTGGCAAGGGTAAAGCCAGACTGCTGATGCATCCAAACACCTGGTTGATCCTTTTTGCATATCCACCCTCTTCAGACCAACCTACGAAAACCGGTCCTTTCTCCCTGCATCCTTGATGTGTGGACGCCTGGCCTTCCAAGTCCTCCTTGGTCGGCATGTCCTGCAGATGCCAACTCCATCTGGAATAGGGCGAGCCCCGCAGAGCTTCCCATCATGACCCCTATAACCAGGAGTTGTGCCCCTCCCTGCGGGGGGGCGGGGGAGAGAGTTTTCTACGTTCTGGCAAACATGACCAAAACACCAAAAGCTATATATATATATATATATTTCTATGGATTGCTCCGGGTCCTGAGTGAATCTGGCATGGATAGCCCGTTTAACCAAGGGCTGCAAGCAAAACTCATCAAAAGCAAAAGGGGCCATGGTTTAGCCCGTCTTGAGGATCACTTTCACTCTGCAAACAAAAAATGCAATTCCAAACCCTGAAGCAAGAAGTAGGTCCTGCCAGGTACTTAGGACCTGCATCCTGACGCGTTCCCTGGCGTTACCCAAAAGGCGAGCTCCTCCAGCAGCCATGGCCCAACGTGTGTGAGCTGCGGACAACTCGGCACCTCCTGGCCGAGAGGCAAACGTATATCCTGGGCCCCATGAGAAGCACTTGAGCTCTCTCTCTCCCTCTACCGTTGCATCCAAAGGGTCTTGACTCAGCAAGCACTTGAGCTATGCTACCCATTTGTTTCTTCATTTCAAGAGCACCCTGGTTCATGGCAAGGAAGTTCTGGGGGAACTTGGTGTTGCCCATGGCAGTCTCACCCATCTCCTCCAGCAAAGGACTGCTGGCCAAGAAGATGGGGCGAGGCGGCGTCATCTCAAAGATGCTGCGGTTAAAATTCAGCATCTCGCGGAAGTAACCTTACAAAAAAGCGGCCCGAGACTCGCAAAAGAGTTTCAGGTACTACGTACCTATTTGGCCTTTGGCGCTACATGCGCCAGTAGCTGCAACCCCTTAAAACCAACAACAAAAAACTCAGCTGAATCAAACCAGAGCAGAGGTGGCAACCCTGGCGTGATCATCTACTGAAGGTCCCCGTTCGCTTCGAGTGATAGCTCCCTAGCCTCCATGGGCTCCTATGGCAGTCAGCAGACCTCATCACGTCGAATTTCCGAGAAATGTTGAATTTAAAACATTGCTGGGTACCCAATTATGGCCCAGGTATGGCCCAATGGTGGCCTATTCAGCGCCTTGCTGCCCCCCCCCCCCCCCGCTTTTCGGCCGCGTGGCAGGCGTAGACACAAGGCACACCCGTGGCCGTTTCGTAGCGGATGCCCAGTGGCAAGGCCTACAAGCAAAAGCAACCGAGGCGGACGCGTCTCTGTCCAGTTGACTTCTTTGGGGCCAGTTTGGCATACAACGAGAACTGCATCATGAGTAGGAGCCCATATAGAGAAAGTGTTGCTTCGTTGTTCTGGCGAAACGAAGCAATCCTACACATTTTTGCAACAATAGCGACCACGGATGTGAATAGCGACTGGAACCCACTGGAAGGTCTGCTGGAAGGCAGATTGTAGGAACGTGGTCCTGCAGAGGTCGTCATCCCATGCCAGCGTGGGGAGTAAAGTTTAATGATTTCCTCAGTCAGCCACAAATATGTTGCGCAAATTGCGCATGCGCCAGGGGAAAATCCACCTGCCTCATTGCTGGTCAGCACTGCATCTGGGCGGAACTCATCCAGGGCGTCCTCCACCGCGGTGCACTCCTCCGGGTGCTCGCTCCTTGGCCCGGATCGAGGGTCAAATCCAAATCGTACCCCAGTGAACATCCCAATCCAACCACTAAAAAAGGTTCTAAAATGGGTGGTGCACCTACCCCAAAATGGTACCATTGGTTTCGACCCACAGCCATTCAACAGCTAGGCCAGCTAGGCCGCTTGCGACGGGGCACTGGCCAATGCTGTGCTTTGGACAGCTTGAATGCTCTCAAGGAACTGTCTGGTCAAGCCAGAGGTGTGGGTCAGGCAGGCTTGAATAGACCCCTGCTCAGTGCGGCTGCCGACTTTGCCATAGGTTGGAGGAGCCAAGTACCATCCTTGAAGACTTATCAGACGTGGAAAGAGTTCAGAATACAGCATTGGAACTATACGGGATACAGTAACATAATTCCCTGCACCACCAAAACAAAGCTAACCAACACCAACAAAAGTAACCTCTCCGGGAGAAAGACAACCAATTCCACATTCAGAGTGGAGAGCCTGCACCTTTGAAGGAGCTGCCCCCGGTGTGACCGCCAGGTATGAACCCGTATATAGTTGTGTAGTCAGTGATGTGTTAAGGCCTAACTATGAACCCCCCTAGTTTAAGCACACCAAAAAAAGAAACTGTCTTATCCTCAAGACCACTGGCACACCCCACCCCACCCCACCCCACCCCACCCCACCCCACCCCACCCCACCCCACCCCACCCCACCCCACCCCACCCCACCCCCACCGGACCCACGCGATCGAGGGGCAGCCACTGCTTGGCGGCCTTCTGACCTTGGAAGACGCAGCGCAGGGACGCGGTGAGGCCTTGGCCCGCCACGCCGCCGATGCGCTCCATGCAGGCCTAGCCGCCGGAAACCAAACCCAGGGGCCCACGGGAATCGATTTGGCGCGAGGGATGCAGGGAAGGAGACATGGAGTGAACCCAGGAGTTCCCCTTAAAAAGGCAGCCATCGGTTGGTTTATCTCGGGGTCATTCCATTTCTCAATCCCTGCTGAGCACCAGCAAGTTTTGGGGTTCTCTATTTCGGAAAGGACAGGACATGCAGGACTTTCCTGCCTGTCTTTGCGTAGCTTGGAGACACATCTGGAACATGTTCTCAAAAACACGCCCGGCTGACTTGATCTCTTCCTTTACCCAAGGCCCTAGATGTCTTAAGCGGATGTGCCCAATCCAAGTCTAGTGACCTCTACGCCAGCCACAAATGGAATTCCATAAAATAAACACAGAACAACCCATGCTTCCCTTGCATGCTTCCCTTGCGCCCACCCCCCCCCCCCCAAGGCCTTGGCTGGTTGGGGAACCGGTGGCGGGGTGGGGGTGGCTTGCCTGGCTGTCTGCGAAGACAGGCACCATCTGGATGCCATGACGCTGGCAAAGGTCCTTAGCTTGCACCGACAGGCAGAAACAGGGAACCATGTTGAGGGATCCTTAGATTATACACCTGAACATTGCCTTGTAAATGGTGGTTTCCCTTTATTTTGGTGTTGAAAAAGCAACATGTTTCAAATGGTTGCGAAATGTATCTTTTAAGGAGCCCTGATGTTTGGGGCTGGCTTCCACTGAACTGAGCGTTTTGAAAGAAGGAACAAATATGTTTGGGGCGCATGAAAAAGTGGCTTCCACTCAACAACTGGGAGTCTCATTCTGTACATGTTGGAACCTGCCCCCAGTCACCCCTCACATCATTCATGATTTGCATTTTGTTTGTTGCACATCGCATCACCTATTGTGGGAAAGCCGGCGCCCTCGCCACCTACAATGTGCAGCAAGAATGTCTTGCCACCCCAAAAGCACCCTCTCAGGGCCAAAGTTACATAAATTCTGCATTTAATCGCTCTCTAACTCACGAACCGAAATTGAGGAGGTCTTTTGTCAGGGCGAGCACGTTCTCCCCCGATGTGACTTCACGAGTTGCCCAAATGGCTCGCTTTGCAAGATTGCAAGACACTCTTATCAACACTTGAACATTTCCAGGTGGATGCTCCCCTAGACAGGGCTGCTGCCAAGACCAGGGTAGAAGGTTGGTCCCTGGAAAATAGAAAACAAAGGACCCAATAGCAGTTGATTCATCGATGTTCTATTTCTGGCTCGAGCTACTTCAGGGTCGGAGCATTGAAGCTCGGCTGCTGGCTCGACTTGTTTTTGCCTCATGCCTGCCGAGGATCTGCATGGTTTGTATTGGTGAGCAGCCGGACCTGTCGCGTCAACCCGACCCAAACCAGTGGCCAGGAGGAAAAACGGGAAGGCATTGTTGATTTGTCGAGTCAAAGCCCCCCTCCCAAGACCGAGGCCCCTGGGCCAAATGAGCTGCGAGTCACGCCCGAGTTGGGCGCTAAGCACGCAACTACAGTAATCCAAGCTCACACAATTCCTTCTCAGGCAGTTTTTAACTGTTCTTGGACAATATTTGGGGGTTGCAATTTAAAGTGCCCTCAACCCAACAAAGGCCAAAAAAGGAGATTCCCATTTTAACATGGTTGGCTGGCTTCTGTGCAAACCTGGCCAGCCCGCAACAAGAAGCAGGTTCTTCACATGTCAACTCCCGCAACAAAAACAAGAACCCCAACAGGAATATCACTCAAATTTCGCCTCCAATTTGACGAACATGTTAAAACCCGCCGGGGAAATCCCAGCTCACAGCTCCCCTCAAAAACACTGGGCTGCCCTCAAATCCCTGCTAAAAGTCCAATTTTTGGTGGGATTAATGGAACCCTCCACAAAACCCTAAACAAGCTAATTAAAAAAAGCCAAGGAACCGAATGGGGTGGCAGGCTACCAAAGTTCAGGGGGGACCTCTCCAAAGCGCCAGCGCCGGCCTGGTGCCGGCCCTGCAGCTGCTTGGCCAAGGCCAGCAAGGGCTGCACGTCCCCACGGCTGCCGCTCACCAGCATCGCCAGGCGGCTGCCCGGCGGCCTGATGTTGACCCGTCGCATTTTCTGGGCTGTCCTCAGATCCCCCGCCAAAGTGACTCACTTTTGGTGGGTGAAATGCAATTCCAACCACTAAACACTAAAGGGGCTAAAAAGCTAAGGGGATGGCTGGGAGCCGCCAAGTTATTAGGGGGGTGTTCCCTCCAAAAGTGGTCTGAATCCAACCACTAAAAGGGGACACCCCCCTATTGTTAATCAACCAGGAGTTTGTTAATCCGGGGTTAACATGACAGAGCGCCCGAAAAACGGCGCGAGGTGCGGAGGGGGGGCGAGGCGTTGGACCCTAGGGGCTGGGAGGGCCAAAATCCGACGAAGAACCATGGCTAGGTCCTCCAGAGTGGATAGAATAAGTTGGTACCGTTTCCTTTTTTTCTGTCGATTTTGGTAGGGGAACCCTCCCCCAAACAAGGGCAAAAGGGCAGTACTGGGTGGGGTCCTGTGCAAATGGTCTTCAAGCGTGGGCGAAATCGACGCCCTGCTGCGAAGGTGCTGCTTCGATCCATCCTCGGGGTGCTCCTTGGGTGAGAGGCCGAAATCACCGGAGGTCTCGGTGCTCGGGGTGTCCTGCACAGACGTCAAGGGAACCTTTGGACCTGCACGCGGTCAGATCTGCTAAGTGACCAAACCATAGCCATTTCAGGTCTTGGGGTTGCTTATCCTGGCCCTGATGGGGTGTCGACCAAAGGAGGTTACCTTCATTGTTCTGTGCGCCTCGAAAGAGGGCCCAATCTAAAGTGAATATGGTTGGTTGGCATGTATCTCAACAAGCCTCGCCGTGCCACTTGGCCAACTCACCCAAAAACCCATGAATGATTCACCCCCCGTCTATGAGTCCTTCACCTGCGCACTTGAACGTATCATGCATCCACCAGGAAACTCAAAGGAAGCTTCCCCTTTTCCAGTGGTCTACGGCCTGATTGACAAGCCGTGTCAAACCACTTCCACACCAAAACCCCTGCAGCCTCCCCCGCCCTCGCCCGGTCCAAGCAGTGGCGGGCGCGAAAGGGGGTGGGCGTGGGAGGCTCCAGGGTCTGCCACAGCTCCGGCGCACTCTTGCCCCGCAGTGGGCCATCCGCCACCGGCGAGCCTGGCGTGGTGCGTGTGCGCCGGTGGAAGCGCTCAACCGCAACCAGCAGGGGTAAGCAGCATGAAACCTCGAGAAAATGGTCTGCAAAAGAAGAAACTGCACATGCAGTTCATCGTGCGCATGCTCGATGTGCAACAATCATCATGCACAAGGGGCCCTTTCAAAGCACACTAATCCCTTCCCCCTAATAATACCCCCCCCACCATTAGTAAATCAGCCTCCGGGGCGAACCATATTTATTCATAGGGTCCTTTGGGGTGATGGGGCCCCCGGAGACAAAGATAATTACTCATCCCTGGAAGCAATTATAACAACCCCTTGAGGGAAGCAGGTCAGGCAACAAAACTCAAAGGCAGGCAGGACAGTTGAGCCTCTCTGTCTGATTACAAGTTGGTTCAAAACAATACCCTCAGCTTGTTAATTACTGGGTTGTTGCAAGGAGCTTGGGTCCTGGACTAATTACCCACCCCCTAATAAGGCTGGGGCTCGTCTGGGTGAGAAATCCGAGAGTTTAGTATTCGTTTTGAATTGGCCTGTTCTAAAAGTAGTATTGGTGACCCGGCGGTCTGGGAAAAATAGTATTTATTAATACGGTCCGTTTATTGAAAGGGGGAAGGGATTAGTCTTCCAAAACCTTTCACTTCCCAATTGTTGGCAGTGCCGATTCACCGAACACGGGATAAGGAATGATGAGGGCGGCCATGGGCGGCCGGTGGCCGCTCCCGTTCCTCCTTGGCTGGACTTAATTATCCAGCACGTACCCTTGGGATGGTTTCATGTAGCCAAACACTTAGAGTGGCCTTTGGTTGCTAAGCCACCTGAAACCTTGGCAGGCCCTGTCCACCTCGTCAATTCCCTTTGTTTAAAGCAGGCTTTGCTGGCTTCAAATGGTGGGCGCTGAAATACGACCTGGTTTGTCACAGCCAAAGCGATGTCTGATCCAGACGAACCAATACGAGGGCCTCCAGATCTGACGCATTCAATGATTCAAATCCACCCATTCACCCCCTGCATCAATCTGTCCACCAACACGCCCTTCGTCAACCAACACGAAAGTAAAAAGGATTGACCAACACCTCACCCAAAGCGGAAGTCATCTTAGCCCCAGCCGGCTCACACAACTCTTGGAAGAAGGGCGACCCAATTGGCAACGAAGAAGGGTGTGATTTTGAGGAGCCACCAATCACTGTTCCTAGTGTGCAGCCCGCCAAAAGTATGTCCAAGACTGAAACTCACTGCCACCCAACCCGAATCCATATCCAAAAAAAGGGCGCTCGAGCCTTGTGAGCCTTCCACTTCCGGAGGTGCGAGTCTGTAACAACTCACCTTTCGAATTCGGCAACCCGTAGAATCAAAAGAAGCTCCTGACTAGAGTTAGGCAACCAGTTATAAGATGCATATTTTATGGTTTGCGTCACTTTGAGTCACTGGTAAAATGCAAAATGTATCCTGATTATGTCTACCGGTTCAAAAGTGGAACCCACGCTGAGAGCTGCCCTGCGAGGCCTAGGCTGAGATGCTCGAAGATGCAGCTCTTGGCGCTGGCGAGGGGCAGAAACAGCGCCGCTGGCGCCTGGCTCCATGGTTCCTATTTGCGTCTTCGCCCCCCACTGGAAAAAATAGCATATTTCCGGTATAGTGGCAAACTCCCTGTAACACCAACAGGGGAAAATAAGAAATAAAAGTCCAGTATACCGGGCAAATGTCCCTCTAAAACCAGCAGGGGAAACAAATTAAGCAAATGGAAGATGGTCACCAAGGCCCCATGAGCCACCATGCTTGGGGTTGGTTTAACTGGAAATCAAAGGAAGGGGCGACCACCATGTTTGAAGCGTGCCATATTTTGACACCTACCCAAACATGGCACTAGTACATGATGACACTCCTAGATACCAGTGCCATCAAATGACCCGACCTAGACAATTTGGGACGGCTCACATCAATTTCGCCCGCCTTGGTGGCTTCCACCTGCTCCAGCGCATCGAAGTCAAATCCCAGCGCTCCCATTGGGGAGCCGCCCAGCAGCTCCAGCGCTTCGAAGTCGAAGCCCAGTGCTCCCATTGGAGAGCCCCCCAGCGGCGCCATGGGAGCCGTAGGCAACAGATGCCGACCCCGGGCTGGCACTTGGCTGAAGCTGCTTTGGCGTGGGTTGGTGTTTTGTCCCATCGCGGTCCTGTGGGCGTCGAACATCCACTTTCTTGTGCCCATTTGGGAGGGTATCCTGCATTCCTCCATTCCATCTCATAGCCAGGCGGCCCTTGGGTGAAGTCGGTGTTGTTGGATTTTTTGCCGCACCTCCCACAACTGTCCATGAACTCATGTGTGCTTGGCTTGTTGACTGGCAATATACCTTCAAGCTTAAGGACAGAAGCCAAGCGCAAAAGACGCTGTCAGAGGAGCTGATCTCGTCTCTTCCATGCCCTTTCTCACTTGGAGCGCTTCTGATGTCTCCCGTGCGACATCTGGTGCCTGAGCTGGTTGTAGGGCACAACAAGAAATCATTCCTAGCCATGTCTCTGCGCCGTTTGAGCTGAGCGGCCAATGGCTGCGAGTGGCCCGCAAGAGGGTGGGCAAGATTATACATACTACGTACATATCTATAATATGCATGGAAGACATTAGCTATATATATATATATATTATGTACAGTATATATTCCTCCCACACCTCCACCAAAGGAACTCATTGTCAAACGGCTCAACACATGATGTTTCACTCACCCAAACGGGAACTACAAGGACCCCTGGCTTCTTCCCGGCTACAAAAAGCTCTTGCAAGAAACACCTTGAAGGGTGCCTGGAAAGAGAGAAACACTCTTGGATTCGTTGGGTGTTCACCCCGCATCTTGAAGAGAAAGCCCGACCTGGCTTGCCCAAAAAAGGTGCATGAAACCTCAGTTGCGACACCAATGACCTTCTTCCCCTTTCCAGTAAGGCCGGCGTGAGAAACTGGTCGGGCCGGCACGACAGTCTGGCCGCCCCCTGTGACAAAGTCGGCTCCCGGAACAAACCACAGAAACCAGCCCATGTTTAGCCCACTGCGAATTGAAGCATGGCTGGGGCATGGGTTGAAGGAATTGAGGCCTGGCATACACAGCTACCCTAGGGCCGCTGAAAACCATTGCGCTTCCCAAGTCCAAAAGTCTGAAGTCTATGTCTTGAGGCTTGGCAGGCGCACGCAAAACGGTGCAATGGGAAACAACTCTAACTGCAGCGGGAAACAACCCCACAAGGAAGAACATTGGACCGTGATGCTTAATCCACCATAGTCCACGCAAAAAGGAATTCATCTGAGAACCACTGTCCAACCATCCATCTTGCCCTCCCAACCTCGAGCGATGGACTGCCCTTCTTGCATTCTTCGAAATGCACCAGCTATAAACCACCCCGAGAACCTGGGCTGGAACACGTTTGCATCTTCATGAACACTTGAAAAAAAAGGGCAGCGACATGAGGATGTGCAAAAGGTGGCTTCCTTAATTGCACTAGCCACATGGCTGGCCAAACTGCGGCAGTGCCGACCTCCACCTCCTTTGACAGGAGGCATTCACTGAGAGCCTCAGCCGGCAGCACCCCACGCTTAGTTGGATAAATGCCCAGCTCCTCACATGCCCGCTGCCGTTGAGCTAGCGGTTGGCAGAGCCCTAGTTTCCAGCTACAGAAATCCTTTGATTAGAGATAGATAGTTACACTTACACATAGTTGCACTTGCACCCTTTTGTGGTCACACCGTCTTCGCTGTTGGGTCAGTGCTCGTCACTGATCGAGGCGAAAGATGTCCACCTGTGCCTTTCCTTCGAAGACCGCGAGGCTGCCTGTTCGCGAGCGACGTGCTCTTTTCAACACTCATGTGACTTAAGGCCATGAAAGGCCGCGACATGTCCACGTCCATGGACCAAAAACCAAGCGCTTGTGCGCTAAAGCAGAACACCGCACTACACGCTTCTGGGAAGCTCAGGTGCACCCATGACCCAACACGTTTTAACGCCTTCACGGAGGCCATGGAAGCCTCCCACTCGGCTTCGAAGGCTGCAGCCGCTTGAAATCTGAACGGGATCCAGTCCTTAAACAGACCCCAGAAAGGTAACCTTGAACATACGCGCGCGCACACACACACACACACACACTCCCCGGTCATCGAACAACTCCTTTAGGGGCCGTGCGGGCTACGTAGGGGGTAATTAGGACGCGTGGGCCCACCCAAATCAACCAATGCCACCTTTCTGGGCCCGCGGGCCTTCCACATATCGGCACCTTGGCCTTTCCACCTGAGTCAACTCCCATGGGACTGGCTGACTGGCTGACTGGCTTGCCCAGGAAACAAGCTCTCGCCAAAAACGGATCCGCTGGAACGTTGACCCCATATAAAGTTCCCCCCATGAAAATGGGGGGTGTCAACCTGGGATAGGCGGGGATTTCTCACGCTTGGTGGGGAACACCCCTCTGTTCATAAACCAACTGCTTTGCGTTGCGCGGTGAATTTCAAGTCGCCTCTCCATCCGAGTGCGACCATACCCGGCTGAGTTTCCCTGGCTCTTGGCCCAACATGGCGGATGCACGACATGTGGCGGTGGATTTGAACATGGAACGCCCTTCAAAACTGGGCTGCCCTCAGATTCCCCCGCTAAAAGTTTAACTTTTAGTGGGTTAAATGGAAACTACCACTAAACACTAAAAAGCTAAAAGGCTAAGGAACCGGATGGCTGGGAGCCACCGAGAAAATGGTGAGTGGACATCAACCACCATCCAAAGGGTCCGAGTGGACGTACACCACACCGGGACCCATGGGAACTCACGCAGGTCTTTCACACGGGAATCGGAGCAAGGCGCCCGGCCAGGCAGCGACTGTTTCGTCCGGCCTAAGGTGCCAGGCCCCGTTTGCGCGAGAAAGGAGAAGGAAGGGGGGGGACGGGGGAAAGGGGAGAGGGGGAGGGGGAGAGGGGTTCAAAAACCTGAGGCGACCCATCCATTTTCAGGCGTCCGGTTTTTCTGGTTGGCAACTGGTAGGAAGTTCATGGAAGGGATTCTCTAGGTTGGATGAAACCTAGGGAACATTGGGAGACAAATCCAGCAATCTGCAAATCAAGGGCTGAGGGAAGCTTCATGCCCAAACACATTGAGGGTATGAACTTCTGACACCCAATTAGCTTCTCTTCTAAATCGGGAAGTTCGTCTACAGCCTCCGCTGGGTCCCAACATGTCCACCACAAGTATGAACGTTTTAGAGTCGCGCACGCACACACAGCCTGTGACATCATTTCATGTCGGGGCTGGTTTCGTGCAAACAACATGTGTTTTGAAATAGAGAACAACCGAATTGGGTAGTTCCAACTTGCTCTCAGGACCTAAAGAAAACAAAGAGGCTGCCCCAAGCAACAGGATTCCCAAAGCCCGGGCTCAAATTTTCCCATGCCCTTTTCAAGGCATGCAAGTGCATGCCCCCTTCACCTGAGATCCAAGCACCGATGTCAGTAGTGAGCCACAAAGAAGCGCCAGCCTCGCTTGCAAAATTCACGGGCTGAGCCAAGTCTTGAGTTGCAAGGTTCATCAAAAGCAGGTGCCCCTCGGAGTTTCTGCAACCTGGCGAGACAAATTATTGTGCAAAGTGAAATGCAAAACAAGTAATATTGTCAATATTGTTCTTTGAGCAGCCCAGTCAAAAAACATCCCATAGCGCGCTTGACCATGGAAAAGTGCTCAGTGGTCGAAGGTTTCCCGCCCAAACTTGTACTCAGCTCCTTTGTCTCTCTCCCAACCTTGGAGACGCAAGTCAACCAAAGCTTTCAGGGGTGGGATGGTGAAAGCACTTCCAGTATATTCTCCTTACCCGGCCGGTGGCCATAAGACCGGGGGGAAAGGGCGGGCAAGCAGCGATGATGGTGTCAGAAACTGATCAGCAGACACTCCGGCAACACGACCCAAGGAGCTGCGATTCGCGCGCCCGCGAGCCCCCCTCCGGCTGATGTGCGTTGCGCTTTCAAGGTCGCGTGGCTTTCCATCTATCGCATTGGGGTCAAACGTCCCAGTTCCCACACTTTCCCACGAGCCCAAACCAATCGGGACCGATACGCTGACAGTTCAGCCCAAAGACCAATGTGTTCTTTTGGGAACCTTTTTTGAAATCCTCCCACAGGTCGACCAAAGGCCTCTCTCGATTGGGGCGCTGGCTCCCAGAGTGGCGCCCCTCCCCGGGCCTCGAAATGGTGCGATACGCTTCGCGGGTAAGGGACCGAACGTGACTTTGGACGAATCGCCTTGATCCCATGGCCACTTTTGGCGGGAACACATCGCCTCACCAAAAGTGGACTTCTTGGGTGAAATTGAAATTGGCAAAGGAGGTGATGCTTGGATCCGACGGGGGAAATTTCATGTGCACGGCTATTTCACGCGGAACCTGCTTTGGACTCTGGCGGTCCAAAGGGTTTATGGGTATGTGTCAAAAGGGGGGGAGGCATTTTTTTCTGGTTTTTCTTTGAACCAATCTGAGAAGGGTATCGTGGGTGTACTCCAAAATCGCGAACCCCATGAAAGGGAAGAACTTGACTCCTTGAAGGCTTCTGCAGGTTGCCAGGCTGCAAGGGTCACCAGCAGAATTCGCATGCTTCAAGCGCTTGAAATCTTGCGGGTTGCCAACAAGGTGGTGGGCAGCGCTCTGTGTGTGCGTGTGCATCGCCAGCATCATTCGCATGATTGGTTGTGGTTGGCGCCATCCAGGCTTGAAATCCTGCAGGTTGCCAACCTGCAGGGGCCTTGTGCAGTCAGTCCTGTGTGTGTGCATCACCATCGTTTGCATTATTGCTTGCCGGCCTCTGAGCTACAAATCCTGTAGGCTGCCAAACTGCAGCATTATTCGCAGGCTTGCTTGGTGCCATCTAGGCAGCATCATTCGCATGCTTGGCGGCCTCTAGGCTTGAAATCCTGCGTGTGCATCATCAACATCACTCGCATTATTGCTTGGGGGCCTGTTTGGCTTGAACTCCAGCAGGTTACCGTTTGTGCGGTCCCAAAGGTCCTTGTGCGGTTCTGCATGTGCATCACCAGCATCGTTCACCTCCGAAGGTGCGCCGCTATTTCATGCGGAAGCTG